GGGGGGGGGGGGGGGGGGGGGGGGGGGGGGAGAGCTAACCTCGCCAAGTCCCGTCAGGGGCTATGTACCGCGCCAGGCGCTCTCACCAGGGGCATTGCTTTTAATCCTCACAGCAATATCTACTGGAAAGGATCATTATCCCCATTTGGAGGATGAGGAAACAGGCTCAGGAGAACAAGGGACTCTTATGCTGGCTCACTGTCCAACAACTCGCTTCAGGAGGCTCCTTCTTAACTGGGCTGTCCTCTGCCTCCTCTCCTTCACATCAGCTCGTGACACCTCCATTTCCTCCTAACACACAACAGTCCTTCACCAGGTGAGTCAGCATCAGGTCAGAAAAGAGGCCAGTGGAGCAGTGCACAGATTCAGGCTGGTGCCACTCGCTCAAGAGGGAACAGCCCCTCACCCTGTCTGGGCTTGTGTCCGCATCGGCGAGCTGGAGGTCGGGTTCTCTGCTCTCTAACATCCTTTCTGTTCCCCAGGGGCTCTGGGTCCGAATCTAGCTACTCCTCGAACTGTGGAAGTCTCAACAAGGCCCGGTGTTCTCATGTGTAGAATAAAAGGGCCATCCTGAGGATTAGATGAGATAATGGAGAGCCACACAGTGAGCTCTGGGTAAACGTCAGTTCATACTAATGATGCCAACAACTAGGATTATTACTTGTAGTAGTAGTAGACAACCTTCTGGTGTTACACTATTGGATTCTTTCAAGATAAACACGCCCAGATCAAGCATCAATGCTTTCTTGTGTAGGAGGCAAACCTCAAATTTCATCCAAATTTCCATCCTACCTAAAACCCCATGACTAGCACACAGTAGGTTCTCAAGAAATGTTAATTGCTTACTAATGGCACCTAACCCCTTCCTCACAGCTGAGACTCAGAAGTTGAAGACTCAAAGACCATAAGTTGAACTGAGTTCGCCATCAGCCTCCCCACTCGGAGCCGTCTATAGGGATGGTACCCTGAGCCATTTCTTGCAGTTTGCTGGGCAGTGAGTCCAAATTCCTCCTCCTGGGCCCATGATGGGACTTGGGTAACACCTGGAGATTCATGTGCTAATGGTGTCACCAGAGCAGGCTAGAATAATCCCCTCTGGGGGAGGGAAGTGCAGTAGGGCAGGAAAGGGTACTGAGGTTCCTTCCCACATAGAACAAGGCAGGGTTCCTATGAACTGAGAAGGGCCCAGAACAGACAGGTTGGTCAACAGAGGTGTAGCAACATACATGGAAGAAGGGATCTGGCACAGCTTTTTTCTCCAGGCCTGGCTGAAAGCTGAGCCCCAGGCCCCAAAGCTTCCCACCACCCTCAAAAAAATGTAGGGTTCCACCTGCAGAACACGGCCGGAGCGGGGCTCGATCACACGCAGCTTCTTGTCCTTGCATGTGGTGGTGAGCAGGCTACCATCCGTGTTGAAGGACATGCAGAGGATCACGTCTGTGTGGCAGTCGATCATCTTCACTGGCTCTCCAACGTCCAGGTTCCAGATGAGGACCTGCGAGGGCAGATGTGCAGGGGGCAGGGTCAGCCGTTGCTGTGAGCACGGGTGTCTGTCCCAGGTCTGCACTTGACCGTCCTGGGAGAAACGCCCCATGCAGGGCCTGGGGTGTGCTGGCATGCAGAATGGTGTCATTGAGTTTTGTATCAAAAGGCTGGCATGTCCCTGCCACACAAATCACTAATATCCCTGGACAGATCCCAGCCCCAGCCTGGACCCAGTTTCCACAATTAGCAAGAAGGATACACGTTCCTTGGCCAGGTCCCAGGGGGATGGCACCCCCTTTTTAGGGCATGCCTGGGGGCAGCGGATGAGGCTCCACTTTCTTCCCTCCAGCAGCTTTGGCTTCTCCTTTTCCCCACTAGGAGGGCAACAGCCACCTCTTGGCTAAGAAGTGGGCAGACAAAGGGTGTGGGTGTGGAGTAGACATTCTCCTCCAGTCCATTAACCACCAGAGAAGGCAGGAAAGATACCTCCAGCCCCTGTGGACCCCAGGAATGATGAGGTGCACAGGTGATGCTCAGCAGTGTGTAGTGAATGAATAAATGAGTGAATGAACATGTAAGACAACATTGTTAACATGCTTCGGAAATAACAGTACTCCCTACGGGCCCCCAAAGATCCCCTTCTTTCTCCCTGTCCCCCCCACTGAGCTGGCTCTGACCACAGCTGCCCGCCCGGGTGCGTACCTTGTAGTCATAGCCAGCACTGAACAGGATGTTGTTGGTGGTGGGGTGCCACTCGACCAGCCCCACACGCCGGCTGTGCCCGTGCAGCTCCAGGAGCGCCTCAGTCATGTTCCGCTTCAGCCCACCCTCGGGTATTTCCCAGATCCGCACCTGCAGAGAGGGACCGAGGGCTGAGGCTGGGTAGCCAGGGCTAGGAAGTGCCCTTAATAAGAGGCACCCTCTCCCTCAGATGCCAAGATTTCTGCAATCTGCCTAATGAGGCTCCCCTTGGCTTGGGGCTATGGGCAGAGCCTGACTGAGGCCTGGCGGGAGGTCCCAGGGTGTGATCAGAGAGGGAAAGGACCATCTCCTCTTTGCCTTTGGGAGGCTTTTCTCTGAGAAGGCTCTGAGAAGGCATAATAAGAACTATTATTCCTGGCACATTGTTATTGCTATAGTCTAGCTAGGCTCAGAGGACCATGCCCGAGCAGCTTTTAGCAAGTGTTGTAATAAAAAGCCTCTCTTTGCTTCCCATCCCACATCCTCCTAAGAGAATCTGCCTTCCTTCTCTCTCCTCAGCCCCAGCGCCACTGTTTGTACCAGATGGCCTTGTCTCCCACCCTGTCCCCAACCCAGGACGGACAGCTGGGCAGAGGGAAATGCATCTGAGATGTGATGGGCTCAGGGGGAGAGCTGATTAGATGTTGGGGCCTGAGCCAAAAGGATGGGCAAGAGCCTGGATGTGGTTGCTATTTTCAGTCTTGTGGATGCTGACATAGAAACAGAAAAAGATGATCTGCAGAGAGGAGGCTGGGACATGCAGAAAGAAGCAGACAGAAGAGGCCACGTGGCCCCAGAGAGAGAAACCAAGCAGTTTCTCTGCAATCTCTGAATAACCCCCGATTATTTACATTAGCCCTGGTGGGCTTCCTCTCTCAAACCAGACATGCTTTGCATAGTTTCAACTGTTTCATCTATAAAGGAAGTGGGTGGGGAAATCCTTGCCCTGCCTCGCCTACTGGTAGAATAAAATGAGATAATGGTTCTAACTGTTTATAAACTGTGAAGTGCTCTAAAGATCTAAGGAATTATAATTCTTGTTATCATCATCACTAATACTATTTATTATAGTCTAACCGGGTGGAGAGGAAAGAGCACCTGTGACCACAATTTAGGACACCTTTAAAACAAACCTTTTGAAAATCTGAACTCCACCCTCACTAGTAAGAAGGAAAAACAGCTTTGAGATATTATCTATAATCTGCTAAAATAGCCAACTGGAAAAAAAAAAAAACCACCAAGAGCCATTGTTGGCAAGATTACACTGGAGCACATAGATTCAATCAGTGTTGGTAGTATTATAAATCAGAGTAATTCCTTTGGAAGCAATTTGGCAATTTTTAGTAGGAACCATAAAGACATTTATATTATATTCTTCGACCCAGTAACTTCATTCTTAAAATTCAATATAAGCAAAATCTTTATGCATAAAGATGTTCATTGCAACATCATCTATTCAAAAAAATGTAGAAACACTCTAAGTGACACTCTAAGTGGCATTAGGGGAACAATTTAATATGTTATATCAGTGTGTATCATTAGCCATTTGATTATAATCCTGAAGGCTGTGAATAAACACGGAATGAATGTGGAAGGAAGCCAAAGGCAGGGCCTACTGTGGGGAGCAAGGCTGGGAACACGGTGCTGGGAACTAAAGGAATTCCTTTGACAAGTTTCCGAACCAAGAAGGGTCTTCCTCCTCAGTCCATGAATCTACCAACTGGAGGGTTTCAGGACAAGAAGGGCAGGTTCAATCAAGGATTTGGGTCACCTTCGGGTGCACCATTCTCAGTTTCAGTAAATCTGTTTCAAAAGCCCACTGGAGAACAAGTTTATAATTAGGGTAGAGTTTAACATGTTTTCTGGTCCCCAGCACTCCCGCACAGCCCAGCGTGGTGGGGGTGGGGCCAGGGGACGAAGTGACGCAAAAGGACCCAGCATGACCTGTGGTCTTTCCTCAACAGCCACTGTGCTGCAAAGGCGTCCACAGAGGAGGACTGATGTAGAAATGGCAGGGAGGGTGGAGTTGGGACGAGCTGCTGCCACATGACTCAGGAGTCACCAATAAGACACATATTCCTCTTGTCTTCAAAATGTACTAGAGGAAGGTGGCCCTTGAAGTAGAGAGACTACTGCTTGGGTTAGACAGACCTACAACACACACACACACACACACACACACACACACACACACACACACACACACTTTTCTTTTTTACCTGAAAAGGCCACTGTTACACATGTTCTTTAACTTGCCTTTTTCATGTAACAAAGACAGCGGGCATCTTTCCACACACTCCATGTACATCTACCTTGTCTTTCAAGTGGCCAGAAAGACATCTGCTGTATGTCTGTTCCATGATGAATTTAATCAACCTCTGTTAACCTTAAACAACTGGGTTCTGCCCAATTTTTTTTTTTCACTATTACAATTCATTCTATGATGAACATCGTAATACAAGTTTGTGCATGGGTGTGAATATTCTTGTAGGACAGATGCCTAGAAGTGTTTCATTTTTTTTTGTCCCCAAAAGCTGTCGCAGTTTTTACCTACAGAGTCTTTACCTGTGTTCCTAAAACCACACCTTTTATTTATTTTTTCCTTTTTGTCTTTTTTACTGACCGGTAACGGGATCGCAACCCTCGGNAAGCCCACTGGAGAACAAGTTTATAATTAGGGTAGAGTTTAACATGTTTTCTGGTCCCCAGTACTCCCGCACAGCCCAGCGTGGTGGGGGTGGGGCCAGGGGACGAAGTGACGCAAAAGGGCCCAGCATGACCTGTGGTCTTTCCTCATCAGCCACCGTGCTGCAAAGGCGTCCACAGAGGAGGACTGATGTAGAAATGGCAGGGAGGGTGGAGTTGGGACGAGCTGCTGCCACATGACTCAGGAGTCACCAATAAGACACATATTCCTTTTGTCTTCAAAATGTACTAGAGGAAGGTGGCCCTTGAAGTAGAGAGACTACTGCTTGGGTTAGACAGACCTACACCACACACACACACACACACACACACACACACACACACACACACACACTTACACTTTTCTTTTTTACCTGAAAAGGCCACTGTTACACATGTTCTTCAACTTGCCTTTTTCACGTAACAAAGACAGCGGGCATCTTTCCACACACTCCATATACATCTACCTTATCTTTCAAGTGGCCAGAGAGACATCTGCTGTATGACTGTTCCATGATGAATTTAATCAACCTCTGTTAACCTTAAACAACTGGGTTCTGCCCAATTTTTTTTTTTCACTATTATCCATGATGAATTTAATCAACCTCTGTTAACCTTAAACAACTGGGTTCTGCCCAATTTTTTTTTTCCAATTCATTCTATGATGAACATCGTAATACAAGTTTGTGCATGGGTGTGAATATTCTTGTAGGACAGATGCCTAGAAGTGTTTCATTTTTTTTTGTCCCCAAAAGCTGTCGCAGTTTTTACCTACAGAATCTTTACCTGTGTTCCTAAAACCACACCTTTTAAAAAAATGATGTTTGCCCATCTGATAGGTCAAAAGTGCCATCTCGCTGTTGTTCGGACTTGCATTTCTTTGATTCATAGAAGTACTGGGTATCCTTTCCTGTGTTTATTGGCCACCCTTGCTTGCACTTGGGTTGGGCTCTAGAAGCTTTTGGACTCAAAGGGATGAGACCTCACGGGGCAGAATGACAGGCCAGCGGGGGTGTCAGGGAGCAGAGGATTCTGTCTATGGGCACTTTGTTCTGTATCCTGAGGAGGGCAGAGAAGTAGGAAACACACACACACGTCAAGCCATTCAGTGTGTAAACGGTGATAGAGGCAGCAGAGTCGTCTCTGGCCATTGAGAAAGATCTTTGAAACCAAACTTCAAGCGTCTTTCACTCCACCAATACCTCCTGAGGGCCTCCTGTGAGCCAGGCCCTGTGCTCTGGAGCAGCACACAGCAGCAGAGAAGGCAGACAACTGCGGGAGCACTGGCTGGAGAAGCCTCGAATCCAGTCCTGGGGTGATGGTGGTGGGAGGGCCGTGTGGGTCTGGGTATAGTGGGTGGGGAAACTGCAGGCCTGGCTGGCGTGGGGCAGCCTGGCAGGTGGCAGAGGAGGCCAGAGGCCAGAGGCTGTGTGTGTCACACCTTGTCACTGAGGCCCCGAGACGCCCTGTTTGGGCCCAGAGTCTCAGATAAAACCCTTTCCCAGAATAACCTAATGCCTGAGCAGCCCAGCTAACTGAGGTGTCCTGGATTATGCCAGGTGCCGGGTTAAGGTAGAGACGCATTAGGGGTTGTGGAATGAGGCTCCACGCAGGCTCTAATCCCACTCACTAGTTGGGTGACTTTGGACAAGCCAGTTAACTTCTCAGAGGCTCAGGGTCTTTGTATAGAACATAAATAAGACACGTGTACCTTTTAGAGGTATGTGGGTTAAACTAAACTGGGCTTCAGAGTCCTTGTGAGTCTGAAGCTTTCTAGCCACATGAGCCGATTTGTTGGGGTGACAGTTCTGCCTAGGAGCCTGGAGGCTAAGCCAAGTGGGGGAGAGCAGGTGGTGTCTGTGCCCAGGTTTCAGCCCCTGGACTACATCCAGGGTGGAAGCCAAAAGACCTGTTTTCATTGATAACTGTTAGAAGTAGGGTCCCAGGAGGGGCTTGGGATGCCAGAATGAATAAATATCCCTCAGAGAGGGAGAGAGGTGCCTTGCCTTATCCCCATACGATTTTAGCCACTTCCCTCCCTGGGCCTGTGTTTTCTTATCCACACATTGGGGCAGTATTAATCTTCCAAACTTCTCTGCTTCTGACATCATTGATTGCATCACGGGGGGAAGAACACTGGCTCTGCTCAATCTGTAGCTAAGAAGCTGGGAAAGAAATTTCAGTTAATTAGTATTGAAGTGATTTGTTTGAAACAAAGAGTAGATGGGGTGCGGGACGGTTGCTGTGGATCTCCCCAGAGGTTGTTCTGGGGTGTTACTTCAATTCAACAGGAAACCCAGCAGGGTCTGCCAAACCGGATTTCCGGAAGGAAGGGGTGGAGAGAAGTGGCAAAAGCAAGCCAGCTGTGCCTGGGACTGTCCTCTTCATAGGTCCCTGGGCCAGAGCCCTGTTTAACTCTGTTACAT